AAATAAATTTGTTTCTGTAAATAAGGATTTAACAGAATAAACCAAATCTACTCACAGATATTGCAACTTCAAGTTGTTCTGAAAGGCCAGCTTCGACACGTACGTTAGCCTGCTGTTGGTCACCGTTCTGACACGAATCAAACCAAACAAAATTATTACTGTCTTTATGAGCATCACAGCACTTTAAACAAGAACATCAACATTGATACTGACATAAAATTACAGTGATACACTTTAAAAATTTATTATGAAAATTAAGATATTTTCCTGCACAGCTCTAAATACTTATTCTCAAATTAAACACCTTCACACAAATTAATCATTTTGAAATCTTCCTGAAAATAATGACAGTTTTATTAGGTTAAATGGAGCTATTTGCAACAAGTATAAAAGTGTAATCTGAACTGAAAATAAGGCACAAGAGCTGTTAGGAAAAAAAACAAATATATTCTTTTTAAGATGATGTTCAGACTTATTATATCAGTAAAAAGTGAACAAATAAAACTAACCCACTGGAACCAGTTGATGTAAAACCGACTATGTGCAACTTTTTGTTTGGATCTCAATGTTCTTAATCTGCTTATAAACTTTACATTTGTTAGTGCCATTAAATCTGGACCCTAAAGCCCTGATCAACAAAGAAGTTCAGCAGAGTTCACTTGTGTGAAAATCTCTCAAAGAGGAAGATTGTCCCTAATTAGTAAGACTTAACCTTCAGATGCTTTGCAGTTTTGCTCCAATTAGTTCAAAAAGAAAAAAGGCCATCTTGTTTCATATCTTCTATTTGTTTGTTTTTACGTGTAAAAGTAGAAAAAAACTGGGAGATAAAATAGAAGCTAAAAGCTAATAAACCAATGTTTTAACTTAATGCAGTTTCTGAAAGACTCACAGGTTCCTGAGGTTCTTGTAGTAGTGCAGGTCTTTGTCATTAATGGAGGAGAAGCTGCTCTGGTTGGCGATGTAGCTGTCAGGAGATACATGTGGGAGTCAGAAGGAGAGGATGGGGGGAAATTCATCAACAAGACAAAGAAACACTTTACGTCTGCATGAGCAGAAATCATTCTAAGCGGAGCCGTGAAGGCCTTCAGCTGATGTACAGCACACAGGCGGCTTTGTTTCAAGATAAGAAAACAGGAACATTTCTCTCCTCTCTTTGTTTTTTTTTTTTTTCTTTTTTTTTTCAGACAGCAGCATTTTGAGCGGAGCACTTGACCTGTTTGTGTTTGAGGGTCAGCAGGAGATGGTTGTGAGCAGCTCCGCCGTGTGAATAAAAAGATCTACGAGAACACGCTCTAAAAAAAACGAGATATGCATACGGCTCAGTTATTGCATCTTTTAGGAATCAGATGTCTCAGAACAGTTGAAATGAAACAAAACATTTGGGGAGAAGCGAGAACATCCGTATTTACTGATCTAAGCTGCCAGAATCATACTGGTTACACAGAGATTTTGACTAAACCCCAAAGTTTGTTCATAATGTGGAAAAGTTTGTGCATAAATCACTCACGCCTCTGAACTGATGATGTAATAATGACATATTGATAGAAAAAAAAGATCCCAAAAACAACCAAATCTTTAAAGATGTTCAGATCTAAAAGCAGACAACAGTCTTTTTCTTTCTCCCATCAATCCCTGTCAGATATTCTCTCTCGTATGAGGTTGCACTCAATTAGAAAATACCAAAAATAAACTAAGATAACATACAACAAAGATGCATTCTGGTAAAATGTTTTAAGCAAGTTAGCAATCTGATGACTCTTGACAAATCCATTTCACTAATTGAATTAACTCATCGTTTTTCTTGCACATTAAGCTTTGTTTGTGTGGATTTTGTCTGATGTTAGAAGTGCTGTGAAGCAAACTGCATCATCCCTGTGTTCTCCGGCTTTATTCAACTCCATCGGTTATCACAAAAATATGGATTTCATGAGTCTTTGAACTACACACAATAGGCTATTACCAATATTATCAAAACACATTCAGTCACTTTGTTAAATCAGCCCTAAAATATTAAAGCAGATGGCATTTAAATCTGTTTGACTCAGCTATTACACTATAAGCACACCCATAGTGTGGGAAGCCTATAGGCAGAAATTACTCATCACCGTTGTCTGTATGAGTCTAATCACCCATTTAAACCATTCACACTGATAACCTGCTATATTCTGACCAATTACGTAGATTTCAGTGCAGCAGATTAAAAAGAGGTCATCTAATCAGGACGGGAGACTCTTGGCAAGGTCGTTTGAAGCCAAACTTCAGCCAAACGCTTTGTGAAATGTTTTTTTTTTTTTAAGCAGATGTGGATGCTCGTTTAAACCGCTTCAAGGTTTCTTTCTCCAAGGCTGGAGATAAAGGTTGTTTATATCTGACCAAAATAAAAATAAAAAAGGAAATCAGCTGCAAGGACGTTTATGTTCTCCCAAAAGAAAAAAGAAAAAAAAAACAGATTATTATTAATCCCTTCCTAATTTCTCTCAGCCAAACGCGACTTTCTGTTCCAATCCAAATGTTTGTCATCAAACCTGTACAAAATGTTCGATCTGATGAGAAAAGCACTTCTTCGGGTTAATTCGTTAATATTTGGACTGTGGATGCACGCAAACAAGTCATTACATGGCGGCGCACGCGTGTGCACGCGCCAGCTCCAGTGATTTCTGATCTTTTTATCAGAACAAAGTTGATCAGATGGAGCTGGTTGATGCGCTCTGAGTGTTATGTAATGCAGGTTATGTGATGCTGAGTCAAACCCGTGCCAACTGACTGAGACAATGGGAAATAAATCTGCGTTAGATTAGGCAGATCGTGCGTAAAAATAATAATAATTAAAAAAAATGGCTCCATTCTGGTTTGGCACGAGCAGAGGGATGGATGAAGGGTGACATTCCTTTATCTGCTGGGGAGCAGCGGATGATGAGGACCGTTCCTCCGCACTCACATGTCGGTGATGTTCTCCATCTCCGCCTCGCTCTGCCAGACCGGGAACGCGCTGATGCCCCGCTCCGGGTCCACGCACGAGATCCGGCTGCTGCTGCACGAGCAGGACGAGGGACAAGCCTCCGCGGACATCCACGGATCCCCCGAGCCCACCGTCACCCCGAACGCCACGACCCACCACCAGAAGCACTGGCCCGGCGAGGAGAGAGCCGCGCTCCGAGCTCTCCAGGCGCTCATTCTTCAGCTGGAAAACACAACGGCCCGGCCCAGGTCGACTGGGGGAGTCAGCCCCGGTTCGGCTTTTCAGCCAGCGAAAGGAGGGATGGGGGGGAGGCAATAAGAAATKAATGTATAATAATAAATCCCGATGCTGAGGTGGAAACAAGCGGCACGGCGGGACTTAGAAAACCATCAGCCGTCTCCGAGATGGCAGACAGGACAGAGAAAAGATGTGAGGAGGAGGGAGAGAGGAGAAGAGGAGCAGCCTGTACTTGTCCTCCAGATCCCCCAGTCAGACCAGCAGTCAGTCAAAGTGTCTGTGTGCCAAGGAGGATCTCTCTCTCTCTCTCTCTCTCTCTCTCTCTCTCTCTCTCTCTCTCTCTCTCTCTCTCTCAGTGTGGATCATCTGCTGCTGCAAACACTCTGATGGAGGAGGAGGAAGAGGAAGCATCAGGGCAGATCATGTGAACAGTGATCCATCATTGATCTCCGTTATGAGGAGAAGGTCCGTGATCTGCTTTCAGTGAAGGTCTGGGGGTCAGGTGCACAGCAGGAGAGGGTGGGTGATGGGGGGTGGGGCAGTTAGTGCTCAAGGACACATCAGCAAACATATGGTTTTGATTTTTTTTTTCTGCACCATCACTGGTTTCCTCTTTGGCAGGGATTTGTTTTCAGTTCTGACTGGATCTGTGATCCCTGCTTCAAATCTGGTTTGAAGGAATGCACATCACCCTCCACATTTCATCACTGACGTTCACGCATGATTTTCTGAGGGTTTCATGAAAATCAAGCCGGCGAGCGTTTCATGAGGTATTATGTTAACTGACAGAAAGGGTTTTAGCCAATGTGCAGCTCTACATGTTGTTGGAAAAGAAACAGCCACAACCACAGAAATTTTTAGCCCAATATCTGTAAAACTGACCATTTTTTTCTTGGTGATTTTTGCTTTAGCTAAATAAGCTGGATGTGATGGCCATCTTGAATTGATTTGACGTGAAAATTTAATTAGTTTTATCCAGTGGTGACTTCAAGAGTATTGAAATCAATCCAGTGAACCATAAGATATTTTTGTGGATGCACTGATATGATAATTTCAGCCGTCCGATTTTAATATTGCTGTTATGGTCGATATTTAATAATATTACACAAACACACATGTTTTTTTTTGTTTGTTTGTTTGTTTGTTTGTTTTTTGTTATTTTTGATACCATATAAACAACCAGAGCGCTGGCATGGCTTTCTTCTTCGGTTGTTACTGGCTGTGTAGCATCAGTATCACTATCATGATCAAATAAATACTGATCGATCATTCATTTCCCCTAAACAGAAACACAAACAGCAACAAGCGAGAAATAAATATCGGACATTAACATTGGCCCAGGTTTACTKATAGGATAGATACCAATGTGCTAAACAACGACCCACAATGGCCGATACCGATGTTAATGCCGATATATCGTGCATCCCTAGATATTTTGCTTGGAGCTCATAACATGCATAGGGGCATGATTTTCAGCTACTACCACACCAAATTCTAGCTTAATATTAGTGAAATTGAGTATTAATTAAAGGGGACATACAGCGGGTAAAATAAGCATTGAACACGTCAACATTTTTCTCAGTAAATGTATTACTAGAGGTGCTAATGACATGAAATT